TGCTGGGATTACAGGCCTGCCCCACCTCGCCCAGCAGAGGGTGGCTCTTAATTTGGGCTGCACAGCCAAATACCCTGGGGAATTTTAAAAACTCCTAAAGTTCAGGCCCTGCCTGAGAGCCACCCAATCAGGGTTTCTGGAGGTGGGACACAGGCACCCCTAGGTTTTCCAGGTCCTAATGATGCAAACATGCAGATGAATGGAGGCTTCTCCATTCATCAGAACAGGCAGATGCTATGTTCTGCTGGTTGCTCCTCCTCCCCACTGTGGGGCGCTACACTTCACACCCACAGTGACGGCTCAGGACTGAGGCTTAGCCTGGGGGCTGCACAGAAGAGGTTGCTTTTTTTGGGGGGAGGAGATTTCCTGGAGCCGGCAAGGTGTGTGGGGTGCCCTGGTCCAAAGGAGGACATCATACATTTTGGAGCATATTGAGCAGAAGTAGAGAGGACACTGGTCCAGAAGGACAAGGGATCACAGGAGGACACTGTGGACTTGCAGGCTCTTGGCCATGCCCTCTCCAGTGTCCAGGTGCCTTCATGGTCAAGGGTCATGTCAAAACCATGGGAGGAAGCCCCCTGTCTCGAGGGTCCTAGAAGAAGGCGGTGACATCTGACACAGTGCTCTTGTCCTGAGTCAGAGAAGCTGCAGGGCGCTGGGGAGATGGCCCCAGCTTGGGCACAAAGGTGGCTCGAGCCCCAGCTACTTCCTACCAAGCAAACTTTTCTTCTCTGAACTTGTTTCCTGTCTGTAACTAGAGGGACGGGACCGACCATGGCAGTGCTCTGCCAACTACGCAGCTGCAGGGAATGCGCCACACTACACTGCGCAGGAGATGTCCACACTGCCTGGCATGTCAAAACTTGCTTTGCAAATCGTAGGTGTTGACAATTTATGACCTCTGACACTCAGCTTCTGTCCCTCCCAGAGAACTGTAGACACAGTGAGTCTCATCCTGAATGCACCTGGATACACCAACATATACACAGGTCATAGGTGAGCACTCGAGTGGTTGCCTGGCCCATTCCTGGAACTGATGTACTGTGGATCAGCCCCAGGGTGTGAGCAGTGGTCTCCATGGCACCTGGCTCCAGTGGTAAAGGGGATGGCCCAGACCAGCTCACAAGAGCCAACTGCCCAACCTCTTCCCAGCCCTGCACAGTGGGACAATATGGTGGTAGTTTGGAACCAGCTATGGTGGAAATATTTATACCATGATCATCAGCAAATGCTATGAATTAGATCACCAGGCCCCCAGCTGCTGGTGATCCGGGAACACATGAGCTACCGTGACCCTTTCTGCAAAGAGTGGTCCATGGACCAAGCAGCAGCCTTACAAGGAGCTTGTTGGAAGTACTGAATCCTGCTCTCCCTGCAGGTCTCTGGGCATGAAGCTCTGGGAGGAGGAGGGGATCTGTTGGAGATGGGATGCTTTAAGCAGTTTGGGGTTAGCAGAGATAAAGTGGAGGGGGGCTGGAAGAGCTCACTTCCTGACCCAGAGAGGAGTAGAGGCTTTGAGGGGAAGTGGAACATCAAATCTGAGAGCATACTTTCCCAGGGTGTGGTCAGGTGCCATCCGATGCCCACCTCTGTGATGTTCAAAAAGCATATAAAGAAAATTTAAGAGGGAATAAAAATCTATATTTCCTGCTCTTGTTTCTCTGCGTTTCTTCCATGCACACATTTACATAAAGTGACTCGTGGGTTTGTTTGTCCCCATAGGTTAGTACTTGGCACACTGCCTCCCTGGTTTCTTCCAGCATAATCACTGCCTTAGACTTTGACATGGTGGCCCCAGACCTGCTGATCTTCTCAAAAAGGGATTTGGTGACGTTCCTTCGACTGCTTATTTTTATTTCTGGCACCAGCGGCCAGAGCTGTACAGAGAAGACCGGTACCTGGAATGTAATGTTCAGAATTAACATTCCTCGTGCCAGGCCTGGCCTGGAGAGCAGAAAGGGATCACCTCCTTGGCCCATGGCAAGGAGTGCAGACCCTAATCTGCTTGCTTCTGGAGGCATTTTGGCACAGCTGGGGGGACTGGGGCTTATAAACAAAGCCCTTCATTTGTTGGGGGTGTTGGCAGCTCTGGGGAGAAGGAGGTTATACCCTGTGGAGTATTTTTGTGATGTGGCTTGTTCATCCTTCATGTCCAGGTCAAGAATGAGTTGTAAACTGCCTGGGTTTGGGGCCATGTATATCACGTATTCATAGGTGACTATTGTGCAGCAGAAACCACCGGTATCCCGCCTCACAGCTTTTCATCACAGACCTCGTTCATTCATTCAGCAAGTATTTATTGGGTGCCTCCTCCAGCCCCACCCACCATGAGGCTGGGTGAATGGGGAGATAGAGAAACCTAGGACATCTCTGCTTCTGACCAACTGCTACCTTGGCCAGACAGGTGGTGGGGAGGGTCACAAAGAGCAGCCAGGCTGACAAGAGCACCCCAGGGGAAGAATCTATCTTGTGCAAAGAGTCGAGGCAGAGAAGTTGGCCCTTGTTGACAAAGAGCTGTTCAGAAGAGCTGGGGGTGAAGTGGCAAGAAATGAGGTGGAAATACAGGGGAGTTGTTAGGTGGTCAAGTGACTCTGGTGCCAAGATGAGTTTGAATTGGCTCTTTATTCTGTAGACACTCGTCATCCACCTGACCTATGGCCCATCCATTCACCTGCCCACCCACCAATCTATCCGCCACCCAGCCCCTAGCCATCTGGAACCACCCATCCAGCCTAAGTGTCCTCTGCACCAGGCCCAAGATTTCCTCTTGTTGTTCTTTTTGGGCTCCAAGGTCTTGAGGTTTCCCTAGCAACTCCTGGATACATAGTTGACTTCAGAACCACCCAGCCCACCTATGCCTGTTATGGACCAGGCTATATGGGCAATGACCGAACAGACTCCATGTTACCCTGAGACTCGACGGCACATTAAAAAATGCTTCTCCCATGGGATCACTCCGCCTCTGAACCCATATCATGTTTGGCAACACAAAATGACAAGTCTTGTAATTCAATGTAAAATTGTTCTCTCTTTGATTCCCATTTTTCTTGGACAATGTACCCTGGCAGAGAATGATGGTCTAGATGTTAGTCACCATTCTTTAACTTGTACTCAACTAGGGTCGTTTTGACCCACTTCCCCGTCTGCTTATGATTTTAGATCTCATGACCTTTGTTTATGGTTTGGAATCATAGCAACAGCCACTTACAATTAATACGGTTTTGGACTATAAAAGGTAGACTCAAACCCTGCGAGGAGGTCAAAGGGTGTAGACTTGCAACCTACCCCTTGGCCTGCCAGCTCGTGAATAAAGGTTCTGTCTCCTGCTTTAAGATCTAGTCAGTGATTTATTGCAATCTTGCCATAACATGCCTACCTGCAGACTATTTAGGTGATGGAATTAAGCAGTCATGTGACACTGAGACTAGGTTAGCCTGAAAATTGGGTGTTGTTACCCAGGATAAAGGCTGGTATGCTGAGCTCAGAACTGTATGAACGTCTCCCTTCCAAAGTCAGTGAGGAAGATGAGGGGGCATATGGCAGCAACTGCCCTTCACATAATTATGGGGTGTTCATGCATTTCAAATTTTGAAAAGGATCCAGAATTGAGAATATGAAAAAAAATCTCTATGGATTAAACTTTGCTGAGCTATTTTTGAGCTGGGGGGAAGAGGTGATGGGAGGAGGGAGCAGTATTTAGGACTTGGTCTTAAATGGGTCAAATTTTGTGTAAATACTTGGATCTAACATCTTTCATTGTCTTTTATGCTGATTATAGAAGACACAGAGAGGGGGGTGGGGGAAAGAGAAACAAAAAGATAAACTCCTGATAATACATTGGCACATTTTCCCCATTCCCTTTTCTCTGCCTATTTTAAACATAATTGTTTAAAAATTTATATCCGTTTTATAAAGTTTTGACTCTGACTTCCACTCCCTCCACTTTAAGACACGATGAAAACATAGATAAAATTTTATAAACAGGCCACTTTAAGGCTGCCAAGAACACCACTGGTGAATGCTCCATAGTTTATTGAACTCCTTAGTCGTGGGCTTAGGAAGTTTCTAAAGTTTTATCTTATCCAAAGGTGGTGGCCATCCTGTTTTCTACCTTCTGTGCGAACTGTGAGTATTTCCTTTAGGCAGAATGTTAGAAAAGGAACCACTGAGGAAAGAAGTCTTTAAATGGTGCCACTTGAATCCCTCTTGCCACACCTCCAGGTGGCATGAGGTGATGCTGGCTGTCCCCTGAGCTGCGGGAACGGTTCATAGGAAACATTTGTCAAAAACAACCCACAAAATCCAGATAGGGAATGATCTGCCTTTCCTGCCTCATGGTTCCAAACCAAACCATTCTCCCCTCCCCAAACTAATCTTTTCATGAAAGATGTGAAAGAAGCCGGTTGAGATGGCTGCACACCTGTAATCCCAGCAACTCAGAAGGCTGAGGCAGGAGGATTACAAGTTCAAGATCAGCCTCAGCAACTTCTCGAAAATAAAAAGGGCAAGGAATGTGGCTGGGTGGTAAAGCGCCCTTGGGTTCAATCCCCGTGCCCAAAAAAATAAAATTAAAAGAAATAAAGAAGAAGTTAAAGAAATAGCTGGAAATTAACCTGAGTCCTGGGTATCAATCCTGCTGTGCAAGGGACTTCAGTTTCGGATGTGAAACTTGTAATTTTGTCCTTAGTTTTACTCGTACACTTCAGGTTTCTAAGAAGCTACGTCGGGGGGCCACCTCTCCTTCTCCCGGGGGAGAGAGCAGCATCCCGCGCCTTGGCTCTCACCCTGCTGCGGCTGCAGCGGACCGACTGGGAGCTCTGCTCTGGGTGGACTCCGGGTGGGGTCGGGGGTTCCGGGAGGACCTGGCTCTGTGGCTGCGGGCTGAGCGATCGGTCGCGCTCCGAACCTAGGCGCGCTGGCTTCTAGCCGGGTGCAGCCCCGCGCCTCCCGCGCCTCCCGCGCGCAGCCCAGCGCCCCGCGCACGGGCTGGGCGCACTCACCTCCGCCGTACAGCTGGCACAGGTAGGGGAAGCGCCACACGTTGCCCAGGCCCACGGCATAGGAGATGCAAGCCAACACGAACTGCCGCTGGTGGCCCCATTGCGGCCGCACCTTCTCCATGGCGCGACTCCACTGGCCCCGCTGCCCCAGCCGCCGCGCTCTCGGCTCTTGGCTTTTAATTGCTAATCTTATTAACGGCGCCCGCGGAGGGCGAGGCTGGTAATGGCTGACGGCGAGCCCCACCCGCCGGGCCGCCGCGCGGGGGAAGCGCCCGGGGTGGTTGGTGGGCGCGGGGCGCTAAAAAGAGCTCCCGATGGGGTCCCTCGGCCCCTGGCCCCTTTTTGATCGAGTGCCCGCTGGGTGCCAGGCCTGGTCGCGGACAAGCCTGTGACCCACACACATCCCAGCCCTCCTGGAGCTGGCTTTCTGGGGAAAGGAGACGCTTACGTTGGACTGGATGGAACATTTTCAAGGGTCCTTGACCCACAGCGGGCGCAGTTTCATAGGTTGGACCGAGTGCATGTGCAAGACCAAGAGAGAGACCCAGGGAAGACCACTAAGGCAAAGCAAACGGGCAGTGGTTCCGCGGAGGAGGAGCCAGGACCTTCCCGCAGAGACTAGAAGGAGCCAGGGACCGTCCCCTCTCCAGCGCCCAGGGTAGCTCTATCCACTGTCCAGCTGGGCTCTGCACCTATGGGCAGGCGGGATGGAATCAGGCTTTGAAGTAGTGCTGTGGGAAACTCCACTGTCCAGGCCAGAACAGGGACCTGGAATTCTGATTCCTTAGGCCAAGTCGGGACCAGACCCACAAGGTGGCTTAGGTGCAGTGGGCCACCCGACATGACATGGACGACGCCTGCACTTTGTGTTAAAATAGGATCTTGGTTAGTATCCAAGTTCCACCACGGACTTGCTGGGAAATCTTGGCAAGTCATTTGACTTCTCTGAACCTCTGTTTCCTCCCCAATAGTGGGAACAAACATACCCCACCAAGGGAGGGCTCACGTGAGAATTAATTGAGGGCTTATTGCCTGGCATATAGTAAGAGCTCAATAAAAAAAGCCATTATTATTGTAAGTGCCCAGGAGGCTAGATAACCAAAGACTAGCTAACCCAGCAAAGGAGATGATAACACACTTTGAACTATGCCTGTTACACAGTAAGAGATAAGAAAATGCTAAATAAACAAGTGAAATTTAAAAGCGAAAAGCAGAGCTGTTAGTGAACTTTTCCTTAAAACCAAAATGCAGTCAATGCTGTTGGAGGTTTCTTAGACCTTTGAAATTCTTCTGGTGCCTGCCTGCTGATCGGGGCGGGGAATGGTCCTGGTAGGAGGCTTCCCCAGACAAACTATCCTTGGAACTTTTTACCTCCAAAAAGAAGAGGAGGAGGACCCACAGTGCAGTCGGAGAGACTATGCAGATATTTGTGTGTATCATTCCATTTAGGGGCTATCACAGTGAGATTGTGAAGAGCATCCTAACATATTTTTGGTGGATGGATGCACTTACCGTTGGGACTTGGGGGCTTAGGGTAGGTACATGTTCAGCTCTGGTGATACGGGCCCCACTGCTTTCCACAGTGGTGGTACACGTTCATTGGTTTGGGTCCCTGGGCATCCTCACACCCCACTTGTTCTGTTTTTGATGTCGTCTAATCAGTTTGCTGCCTTGAGTTATCTGCTTACATGTTCTTGTTCTCATAAATGAGTTTTCCCAGAGGATTCCTCACTATGCAGGGACATTCAAGAACTCAGAGAGATGCCCGGCACAGTTGTCTGTCCCCTGGAACATGGGGCTACTTGAAATTTGTTGGCTTGGCAGAGGCCAGGTCCCTGTTTAATTCCCTCCCGCAGGGATCTCACCTTCTTCCATTCATTACAGGCACGCTCCCTGGGAGTCCGTCCAGTGTGTTGGAGGGGGTGCTGGTTTGGGCAGCACAAAGAATCACCCAGATAACTCCACAACAGGACCCAGCGCTTGCAAATGAGGGAGTCGCTCAGGTCACCTTGCTCCAATCTGACAAGGCCAGAGGGACTGATGGGGCTGCCTGTGTGGAAAGGAAGTGTCACCCTCCTGAACTCCAAGTTGTGAGTCACCTATTGTTCTATCAGCTCTGTTTCCTTACAGATGCCGCTTGCTTGTAGAAGTGAAAGCTGGAGACTGATAACCACCTGCTCCCAGTTACCCACGGTCAAGTTATCATATACATCCTACTCCCTACCACAGAGTCCAGATGCCCTGTTGACACTCCAGAAAACTTTGGCTCATTACATCTCATTATAACGATATAAAACACACCCACTGGTGCCATGACAGATCTGGCCATGCCCAAGCTAGAGAAGAAAAGAGATGGCACCCCGATCCCTGGATCTCCTCCCCTTCCTATGAGAAACTCTGATAATAGCATGCAGACCACACCCCCTTGTCACTCATTGCTGGTGAACACCCAGACTCCAGAGAAGGTACCTGTAGAACATGAGCTCTCCTTCTTTGTTCTTTGGCCATTGACTAAAATTTCCCATCTGCTCCCTGTACTGTTTGCTTATTTGCAAACAGGACTGAGTAGGAAAAGAATCTGCCAATTTAGTAACAGAAGAGTGGGTGGGTGGGCTTCCGCCAGGTGAGATCAAATGTGGGCTAGAGAGTGTTTTACCCTGATCTCTCCAGAAAAAGCTGTGATTTGTATATTTGTCGATTTCCGTGGTGTAAATACTCCCACAAAGGCCAATTCCGAACCACGGATGAGATGTCATTAATCATGGAGTTGGAGAGAGATGTGCACTAATGCATCATTAAAATGAATTTATAGGGGCTGGGGTTGGGGCTCAGTGGTAGAGCACTCACCTAGCACGCGTGAGGCACTGGGTTCGATCCTTAGTACCACATAAAAATAAATAAATAAAATAAAGGTATCATGTCCATCCACAACTAATGAGTGTGTGTGTGTGTGTGTGTAAAATGAATTTACACCATGCAGGTACAGTGGACATAGATAGCCTTGAAAGCATAGCTAAGGGTATAGTAAATATTAGAAAATGGCATTTATTACCTCTGAGCAATGTTTCTTTGAATATTTATGACCTCTATTTTAAAAGATGCCTGCAATAACTATTTTTATAGAACTCAGTTCCTAATAATGGCTGTTTAATAACCAGCTTGCAAAATGTCTGGAAAATTTCTGGTCAGCTCTCCGGAGCCTGAAGGAGACAGTGCCCGCACCCCATGAAGGCGGTGGAGGAAGTTTGGAGCAGGGGAGGGGGTTCCGCTCTCCTTGGTGGCTGGAGCCCCAGGACAGTACGGTTGGTTTTCAGCCTAGCTGAGCCCTACCCTGTATGCACCAAGGGACCTGCAAGAGCAGTTCAGGAGAGCCTGCCACGTGCCCCATGTCAATCAGGACAAGATGCCCTGCAGGACGGCAGGTGAGCATGCCTGTGTTATCTGATTTCTGCCACAGGTGGAGAAGGAGGGCACGGCCCTGATACAGTTGCACGGGTGTGAGCCACTCTACCTGTGTCAGGGTTCCAGATTCCTACCCCACCAACTACGAAGGTCACGCAGCTTTCAATCATTTGCTTATCCTGGTGATTCCATTCTTATTTAACCATCCGGGGCTCCCAGTTATCCACAAGATAAAGTCCAAACTCCTTGGCTTTCTTTGTGAGGGCCTGAGGATTTTTTTTTTTTTTAAATTGGGCTTTGAGGAATTTGACCCTTGCACACCTGGGTTCCAGAACCTCGAGTTTTTCACTTTCAGGAAAATGCTGTGTGTTTGTGTATCTTTGAGCAGCCCCTCAGCCCGGGAAGAAATCCTTTCTGTTCTTCTCCAACCCAAAGAAATATGACCCGTTTTTGGAAACACCTGCACCCCATCCCCAGCCAGAATGGATCGCTGCCACTCTGTGCCCCCAAGTCTGGCTTGGTCTAAGGCTTACAGTGCTGTGTTGTCATGAAGAGTGCGTTCATTGTACCTGTGCCCTCAGGTCTTTTCCCCCTAGTGCCAGGTATGTGGTTGAGTCTCAAGAATTAATGGAGAAATAAAAACTCTGCTGCTGACTGAGCCCTGGGTGCAGTGAAGTTCATGCTCGTTGTTCACAGCTCCCACCACGCTCAGACGTCTGCATTGCAGAACCTTTCTTTGGTCCATTGAAGTCTTTATTGTACATGGGCTATGTCCCAGGAGGCTGCTAGGCTCTGGAACTCAAGCCAAAACCTGGATCATGACTGTCCCCTTCCCCAAGACCCAAGGTACCTGCTCACACAGAGAGACACACAGTGCAAACAGGAGTTTGGAAACCAGCAGGAGGAGGCTCTGTAGAGGAAATGCTGAGGGACTGACCCAGCTCAGGTGGGAAGGAGGAGAGTCCTCCCAAGAGCCTAGAGAAGCACCTTCCTAAGGGCTGTGCATGCATGCACCTATATGTGCAGGCATAAATGCATGCACATGTGTGTGCACGGTGTGTGTGTGCATTGGTGATATGTGCATTTGTGTATATGCACATGTGCGTACATATATGTGTGCTGTGTGTGCACTTGTGAGTATGCATGTGTGCAGTGTGTGTACTCATTTGTGTGCAGTGTGTACATGTGCAGGCATGTGTGGGTGCATATGTGGGTGTATGGATGTGTATGTGTACATATGCAGTTTCTGTGTGTGTGCACTGTGTGCATGAGTGTAAGTATGCATTTGTGTGTGTGCATAGGTGTGTTGGTGCAGTGTGTGTCCTGGTATATGTGTGTGTGTGTGTGTGTGTGTGTGTGTGTGCGTGTGTGTGGTGTGGATGGGTGTGTGGTGTGAAGGAGCTGCGAGTGTCCCATCCCTTCTCCCTGAGACCTAGGGTTCTCTTGGTTGCTATGGAGCTTCTGGCCTCAGCCCAGGACCTGGGCATGGCCTGGTGGAGCAGTGCTTCTGAAGCCTCAGTGTGCCCAGCAGTCCCTGGGAGTCCTGTGAAAACACAGTTCCTGGTTCCATGGGTTCTGTGTTTCCCACAAGCTCCCAGGGGATGCCCCAATCCGGAGTCAGACCCATCTATCCCTCCCACGCTCCTGCCATGTTTGCCATTTTTGACATGTTTGTGAACCAAATGTACCGATTTTTAATCATTTCCTTCTAAATGAATTCACTTGTTCACATAAATACATCTGAGAAGGAAGTTTTATATCCTTACCATACATGAAAAGCGAGTG